ACAAATCTAGAATTCATTTCACAAACTGTCCTCAGTGTAGCGTCAACTCTTGACAAATGCTGACATGGTACTTCTAGGTCACGAATAAAACTGACCTAGTTACGAATGATCTGACACTGCCATGAAAACTGGGACTATTGCCGTCATTTTGTAGTTCTTGATGATATTATCTCTCTACTACAACTGGTAATTGAAAACCGATTAAAATATGAAAAAGAAAACGCAGTCCATTTTCTTTTCCATATTTTTAATCTGTTACAAAATGTTTTCAGCAGTTGTGAACCGAATTGTAACGATAGAACAAATACTTTTATTTAATAACGGTAGATCAAATAGTTTAATATGTATAGGCGCTGATTTTTATGATGGTTTCTACATTTTGAGGAAATTAATATGAATAATGTCATAAATCAGGATAACGTTAGGGTTTGGTGGTAGAGAGTTATACTGATTCTGAGAGTTATACAAAATCTCCCGAAAGACAATTAATTCTTAAATAAAATTTAAGTTGAAATACCTATAATAACCACTATAAGTTATATATGGTAGTATAGTCAAAGTGCACATTTTCGCTTACTACTTTACTTTAAAAATATATATGAACTAAAAGATTGGGAGTGGTTTGTAAATGGCTATTTTACCGTAGCTATAGTACTATCTGACAGTAGGCTCTTTAATAGGTATAGAATCCAAATCGTACTAACTCTATTGTCGACATGCACAAGTAATCTGCATGAGGCTAAAACACGTGGAACAGTCTTGATATTTATTTGGTTTCCATCACACGTGGGAATATATGGTAAGAATGCCGCATCCAGCATGCATCCAGCATTCGCACGATTCCGAAAGTTATTTTAATAAAAGGGAGCCCATATATTTATCTTCCTGTCACAATAAAGTAATAAAATATTCATACCAAATGTCAATAAGATCAGTTTACTCCTTTAGTCATGAAAAGGTAATAAAGAGATTGACAAACACACTGTCGCATTTATAATATTAATATGGATTTGCAAAACAAACGAAACATAAATTATTAAGTTACCATAAAGTTACATTGTAATAATATCTACGTGGCTTACGAAAGCAATGCGAAATGAATGACATGTGACGTCACACGCAGCTTAATTAGTACCTGCTATACAAACAGTGCCTTAATCAACTCGAATATGAATATCTAATTTAATTTAACATGAAAGCAATTTCATGTATGAGTAAAGTATAAATATTCAGGCAGTGTAAAGGCCAAGTTTGACGATTATAATCTTTTAATTATATTAAATAACCCATTTTGAAAACGTTTAGCGACCAAATTTTAGGACCAACCAGTATGTGAACTAAAGATAAATAACAGAAAAAGAAGAATGGAGTATCTCAAACTTAATTCCTGTTTTTTTTTCAATACGGGATATTATCGGCTTAAAGTTTTTTTTTTGTTAATTGAAGTGAATTTAGGCAGTGTTAAGGCCAAGTTGTCAATTAATTTTTAATTTTCCAATATTAACATGTGGGTGTATAACTACCACAAGTAGAAGAAATAGAGTATCAATCTCTGGTCTACATTTTTATGAACACAAAATATCGACTACATATTTATTTAACTATTCATATAACGATATATTTAGCTACAAATACTAAAACCACAGATAAGTGTGGGATGTCAGTGGTTACAACTGAATGCGTGATGACAAAATTAGTTCATTGAGGATTATATTATTTATTACAATACAGTGCAATGTATTCTTAAACTGAGTTGACCTAAAAATATATGTATGCAATAATAAAATAATAGAATATGGTTTGAGTTAATTTTTTATTATAATAAGTAAATAATGTTGTAATAAGGCCATATACGCTTCAGGATGATTTTTGGTATAAATTAGATGGCATTATAGTACCTGAAATATTAAACATTATTATCCTAATTATTAAATTACTAGCGACCCGTCCCAAACTACGCAAGGGTTTTTCAACCACTTTACATAAATATTTAACGAATAAAACCTGTCTCAGAAGTCACTCTGCTCGTGGATGAAAACTTCATGATAATCAATATTTAATGCAGACGGGAATTTGTTTTATAATATATATAATATTTCTATATTAAAAGGTATTATATTTATTTTATTACTACATTAATGAACTATTGCGCATATATTTTTAGGAACTTCAAATTTGCATAACAATAAATGTAAACATTTAATTTTACGTGAATGTAGCACGTATAGCAGAAATAGATTAATATTAATATACATTTCACTATTCCTGAATTAGTAAATTCCTGCGGTACAACAAGTTCTATCGCCCAGAAATTATACTCTATGGCAATGAATATGAAAATTACGCCATCAAGTAAATTGCACGTAACAAACTCGTACCAGATAAGACAGTTGATGTCGTTACCAGCAATTTGACATTCGTAACACGTCTTAATTGAAAGCTGCGGTAATTAGAAGCAGCAGCGATTTTGCTTTCGGTATTCATGAATATATTACGCGTGTTATAAACTAAGAGATAAGAATTTTCATTGCTTAGTTTATATCTACTGTTGTTTTAGACTTTTAGTTGGAGGGAACTTGTTTTGAAAATTGAATAAAATTTATACATTGTTATCTGTACGTTGACAGATTCATTTTCTTGATAAATGAAACTAGAATTTGTATATATTTGTATACTTTACTGCATAAATAGATTAAATCTGCTTCCAGTGGTTTCGTCGACTAAATAAACTGCTATACATTTTATTTTAAAAAAAAGCTCTTACTAATAATTATGTTATGACAACAGCAGTGATATATTTCGAAATTATAAATTAAATATTGCAAATAATTATGTACCTATGTATTATATAAAAGTAATAGTAAACATAAAAACAAAAAGCAACCTAGTCAAAAACGTGCAAATACTTATTTCATTATATTCAAAAGTATGATTGTTTGCATTGGTCTGGTTGTTTTCTGGTATATTGTGTACATTATTATTGAACAAAAAATATGTTTCAAGTATTTGTATCGGTTTTCTAGTACCCATAATTCAAGCTCTGCTTATCTTGGGGCTAGTTGATGTTGTATGGATTATCCAGGATTATTATTATTATTATTTGTTTCACTATTTACTTTACAACTATTTATGACAATTCAAAATTGTAACAAAAAGACACCATTGTTATCATGAAACTCAATTTATAGAACCTGTTCAAATGGAATTCTTCCTCACCTTTTGAACCATGGAATGATAAGAATCTGATTTTCCAACTCCTTCAAAGTTTAAGTGACTAAAACACCTCACATTGTTTACGCCGTACAATGGAGTTAGAAACAAAATTAACCGTATTGTGCCTGCCTATAGTAACCTATTCACTAACTTAATATAATTAGCAGAGGAGAACAATGGCAACTGAGATATTTTAACAATCCCTGACGAAGGGTGAAAGGTATCAAATATTGTTACATAATAATTTTCTGATAATATTAACACTTTTAATCGATTCCGAAAAGATATAAAGTTCTACTGCGGGCTGTAAAGTGTGCTGACAGTTAAAAGGAGTATATTTTTCGATTGGTTTCTTTTGTTATGCCGAAAAAGGACTAAATTTGATTGTCCGAAATATCTTGAAGGATTATTCCGATTATTGAAATTAAAATTTTTATACAACCTTGAGTAGGAATTTCTCAGTTTTGGTTTAAATATATTATTACTACAGTTTTATTAATTGAAAGAGTTGGTTAGTACCTTGTTGATTGCATTATTTTTTTCTGTAACACAATCATTAATATATTGCATGTATTTTTTTTTGGTAATTTTATAAACTAGGTGGATGGCGTCGATATTCGCAACACAGTTTTATACTTCTGTGAATATCATCGTTTCTTCAGTAAATTAGTACACATGTTTTCTGTATTAAGTAAATAAATAAATAAATATCATTGAAGAACATATTCCTAGTGATTTACACATAACGAAGATTGGCTTTCAGTTAACTTTATTTGCAATATTGGTTTGTCTTACTGTTATCTTGTAGAATAAACTTGAACATTTGTAACTGCTAAGCTGATAAAACAAGGTGCAATTAACTTGTCGACTTTAGAGTCAGACGTTAAGTGGATGTTTTTCAAGAACTCAACTTAGTTTTTATACAGAGATCTTAACTTTATTTTTTGTTATAACAGTTAATAAATTATTCTATTTGATAATTTACATCATAAAGAGGAATATTAGACTAAGATTAAATATATTTTAATTAATACTCCAGTTACGAGTATTAATAATTAATTATTTTAACCTACCGTAATTCTACTGATAAACCGTGTATTAGTTGCGTTTCTCTGTCTCTGTGCTTGAATATCACAGTTTTTTGTAAGATTAATAGTCTTTTAATATAAGAAAGAATATATTCACGTACGAGTAGGCTAATAGTCTCGGATTAGAAGGATTGGCAAGGAATTTTACTCTTGCTTTTTTCAATTAGATCCTAAGTTAATAAATTAATGATATATTATTTGCCTACTGAAATTATATCATGAGATTTGTTTTGTAGTTTTCTAGAGAGTTTATATACTGAGCAATAAGTTTTTATAAAGTTTGTCATGACCATTATTATTTATAATTCGTTTTTTTTATATTTTAGAATAATTTACCGATTTATTATAAATTTTCCTTAAAAGACCTATTTATTATTTTTTTCTAAATGATACCTGTATCCAAGGGTCGAAGTGTCAAACCTCAATCTTTACCGAAAGGTTAACTCCTTTATTCTTTAGTTTAGACCCGAACTTGATAGATGGATTGGTACGGTCGTAACTGTTATTGTCCGGTTTACTATTTCACATGAAAATCAACTTTGTTTTAATAAATAGTGGGTTCTGAATTATATTTTATTTTATACTTAGGTACATATTAATATTTAGGTGTTCAATACTAGACTGAAAATAAATTTAAAGATATTATTAACTTAGTGTTCATAATTAAATAAGATTAATATAAATATTGTTTTATTTCAGGTACATCAGCGTGTGTTTCCTATTAAATGCAGTATTAATTGAAGCTAAAGGTTAGTACTAATTTTGCTAATGTTCAGTTTTTACTTCTCTTTTTATTTTTGTCCAATCCATGTTCCCAGTTTATCTGAGGTCGGGTATCCCTGTATATTTGCGCCAGAGAACAATGTTCTGGGCTGTCTTAGTACTAAGGTTGTCCCGGTCCATCAGTTAATGTTGTTCCACCAAGTATAAGGTCGCATGCCTCTACCCCTGGCAGAGTTTGGTATTTAAGTATCTTATAGGTTAGGTTAGGTTAGTTATTTTCTTCTCTCTTAGAAGAATTATTCAAATTAAAATTTCAATACCCAACACTAAATGCAGGTCCCCTATTGGCTATAAAGCATCTTTTAAACCACAGTACACAGTAGTGTATTTATTCTATTTTGATTTTACTTAAATTTACTTTGTCACAAAGTTTTGTTTCTTAATTATTAGAGAGACAAATTTCTTAGCATTCCATAGATTTACCGTACGGGAGCCGGGTTCAAAGTGTGGTAAAGTGGAAAACTCCGAGCAAACATTCCCGGGACTTGTCACCCGGGTGTAGGTTTAAGATGCCCCTTGTTAACGTACGTCAACACTCACCTTACCCAATCGTGTTTCTCTCCTAGCCCAGCCAAATCGAAGAAGGAGAGTAGAAATTACTGCACTATATAAATATATATTAGCTTTACCTTAAACGTTATTGATCGATAATAATATTGGTAACAGTTCATTCACTTATCTCTTAATATCATATATTATACGTATAGTCTAATTGTTTTACATATTTACCTTTCAAACAGTTAAAGAATTTCTTAGTCCAGTAACTCGTGATTTTGCTTTTCTAATAACAAAATTTACTCTTATTTTATAATCAGTATTACTACATATTAGTATAGATAATAAATTCTCAACTTTTATTTATCACTGAGTGCTTTACTGTATAATATAACATCCAAAAAAATTCATTATTATACATTAGAAATTACCATTATTGTATTATTTGAGTGTGAAAATTGAGTATCACAAAATGCTTAGTACCCTTTAAATATGGTAATCATTCCCACACACCATTTCCATACGCGATAAATATTACTAACTACCTTCAAAATGTTAATATCTAACACCTACAAATTGCTATGCAGGTATATTTGTTAACACCAAAACTATATTTTGTTTCAAAATGCTACCGTGACCGTCGCCATTAGTACTCGATCAAGATTAGCTAAAACAGCTCCTACTAATATAAAGGCGCGTCTTTGTGCCTCGTTTAGTTACGCAACAGATTAGTTACTTTACACCGCAACCTCAATATGCTAAATATTATATTATTAGTATATAGTCATTTATTGGGACTGTGAGGGGGGAAGTTACCTCTGAACTTCTCACTTTAAGAGAGTAACTATAGTGGTGTCCAAGTAAGCAACGTAGAATAATAGATTATCAAAATATATTTCTAAACAAGACAGAGTAATATAAAAACAAATTTAATATAATATACAATAATACAGATAAGTTATACGGATACATCAATACGACGACAGACGAGATGTAAAAAAACACTATCTGTTTTCAAATATTCAAACATACTTCTGCCATACTAGCCAGTCTAGTCATCGATTGTAAACCAGGGACGTGTAACAGCTAGTGTTAAAAATATTATTGAGATAAAGAAACAAATAAATGCAAGAAAGAACTGAACGTAAAACACACTAATCAACAATGAACGTGAAATTTTGTCTGTTTGTTAACATCTCACAATTAAAGATATGAACGAATTTCAACGAAATTTTACGTGAAGACAGATTGTGTTATGAGGGCGGTAGACTATCTTTTATCTAAAAAATTTAATGTAGTCACATTTAACAATTAGTTAAATGCGACTATGTTTAACTATGAAAGAATAAATTAAGAAAATGCCAGCATTAAAACCATTCGAAAACACTAATAATGGGGTAATCAATACTGTAATAAAATAATTCTATTGAGTATAATCAATATAAATAAATTATAACAAAATTTTACCAAGCTGAAGAGGAAACGCCACTACACATCCTATGTGGTTATAGCCCACTCATTCATAAACAAAACATCTCCTATAGAAAGTTTACACTCTATTCTGACGCGATAAATAAGCTCCTAAGAATATCCTTCAATTCTTGTCCCTGACGGGTCTAGGTAGCGAATTTTGAAAAAGGATGAGCACAATAGGTCTACATACGTTGCAGTACTACAGTTCTAAAGCACCGGGAAATAGCCCAAACCCCTAAATAAAAATATAAAGAAGCAGGTAATCTATACATATAAATAAAATTGGAGTGTCTGTTTCTGATATTGAAATAACCGTTTTTTACTACATGCATATAAATATAATACATAAATATATATAATATATAAATATGGTACATACACCAAATATTTTTTTTTACAGTTTTTGTCTATCTGTCTGTCAGTCTGTTTGTTCCGGCTAATCTCTGAAATTATCGAATTTTGACTGGACTTTTTTTGGCAGGCAGCTAATGTAATAAGGAATAACTTAGGCTACTTTTACTTTGGAAAAAGAACTACGCTAATCTACGTTAACTGCTACGCGGACGAAGTCGCGGGAACAGCTAGTAGTAAATAAATGAAGTTGACTTGCTTCTAAATCTGAACGCACCTCGGCGAGTGAATAAGGCACTACTAATTCAGCAATTTGTTTGCTTCCACTTTGACAAATAGTGATAGATAAGAAATTCGTGTTAATGGAGATGTTTATGCTTTAAAAATAAACCTTGTTTTATTTCGCGGTAGGTGTTATTTAACAGAGTTATTTAGAGAACATTATTGTGTTCTCAGCTGAGTTTTTTCTATGAATACTTTACTTTTACTTATTGTACGACTACCGTAAACCCGATACTTCCTCTAAATAAACTTTGGTCTATTTTTATTATTTTTGTTGTTTATAAACTATGTCTTGTATTACTCCAATCGTGACCGTAACTACCGACATAAAAAGGAAGAGGTTTTAAAATCATCTGCTTGTTTATTGTTTGTTATCTCAAAACATTTTTAGTACCTCGATGATTTTTTTATTTGAAAGCGAGTCACTCTCATATGTTACTCTGATATCTTTAGTAATGCCTATGTAATTATCGTCAACTACATTGATGATATTCTCAGCCTATTATGATTTGTCTACGTATAAATAGTTAACGATTAAAGTCAGTTTTTTCATGGCCTGAATGCACGTATAAATATTTAAGAAACTAACATAATTAATCTTACAGGTAACACACTTTTAACAAATATTAGTTGCGATATTATGATATTGCTGCATATATATTGTAGGCACTTTTTAAAATATATGATAGAACATCTAGAAAGCAGTACATATTCGTATATATATAAATGCTTAATATATATTTAATGCCATATTTAAATAGCAAAATCCAATCAATTATTATTAAAATATTAAATGTGTATATAGTAGAGTTTTAGAACTTCCTCTCTTTCACAGTTTGTAAAAGTTGTATAATAGTACGGTATTTCTCTATGTTGTGGACGTCGATATACCTTAATGTCATAATGTTCAGTATTACCATAATAAATTTAACTATTAAACGTATAGATACATTTATACTGATAAGTAATAATTCTTTATTTAAACTAGGTAAAAATTAACAATTTGACCCATAATTCCATTTCAAAATTAGGCATTAGATAAATTCTTCTTCTTTATGTACTTTGCAATGTTTTAAGTAAATAGTTCTACGCTTTGCCAATTTAAAAACTAATAATATTAGAAATATGTATAATAAAACCGATATATGAAAATAAAATTAATTACATTTGTTTCAGATTACAACATTATAGACTACTACAAAAGAAAACTTCTCATGGATCCTGAACAATATAAGGAACCTTCGCACTTTGCCCCCTCCGTATCCATAGATAACAATTATTTCTTTAATAACCAACTATCTATTCCGTTTACGATAACTTCTACCTTCAGTTCCAGTTTTAAGGGTTCTTTTTGTGTCTTTACCATAAAGACCAAACATAAAGGTCATGTGATTTTAAACCTGTGCATGAGCAAATCGTCTTCTACTAGTATGACGATAGTTTTAAGAACTAAGAACCAAAAAAGAGAATTATTAATTGATACAACTTTTACTAATGATGATGCAAATATATTAATATCAGTGAAAAAAAATAAAGTGACTTTGAAATACAAAGACGAGGAATGTCCCGAAGTTGATAATGAAGATAGTGTAATGAGAGATCTAGACATGTCCGAACATTTGTTGCTGCAAATAGGAGATTCCACACAGGTATATACCGATGTTTCATATATTATATACAGGTAATAAATTATAAAGATAGTAATAAATTGTCCGATACAAATATTTGTATTCATAAACTGTTTGTATTGAATATGGTATGTCCTAGCATTTAAGGCAATAGCAAAAATATTAATCGACATCACAGGAGACCGAAGAGCTGGCAGCTATCTCAGACAAACAATTAGTCCAGCTATTCAAAGGGTCCACGCTTCCAGTATCTTCAGAACTTTACCTAATGGGACTCCTTTTAATAATGTATTTTAGTTATTATATTCTATTTATTAGGGTTTTTATTTTTAGGTTTTTGTTCTAGTATAGATTAATTTATAAAACATTGTTTCCTACAGATAAATTTCTTTACGTTTAACGTCACGATTATTATCTGAGATGTGATAAATGCATTATCAATTGTAGTTATGGTGAAGATGAGTTCAAATCTGACTAATTTAAAAAACTATAATGACTAAATCTGCAGTGATAGAACACTTATAAGTAAATATTAATCCGAAAGGTGGCTCACCCACTGCTTTAGTTGGATTCCATATAGTCTAATGAATGAATTATTGTAAATATATACAAGCATATTTGAGATGAATACGTGCTGAGTTTCTTGTCAGTTCTTCTCAGCTCTAAACTACTCGGTACTGACAATAGATTTGATATATCGTAAGAATCTCTAATAGACCTACATGATAAAAATATTTTGACTGGATTTGGTTTAACTTCGCTAATTGGGGGCATGTTTAGTGTAGTATTCGTCATAGTGTCGACAGTTGTGTATATACATACAGCTATATAATAAGTTAGTAAATTTTTAGAACTTCAAAGCGTAAGTCATTGTAGATATTAATCTGCAGATATGACAGGAAATATAGCTAGCGCAGTGCCTGGTAAAGGACATATTCAGAATGATATAAACGCTGATTCAAGCAGCCGATTCAATACCGATTCGAGAACATTATTTTAAATTTATATATGAAAGACATACATTTATAGAACAAATAATACAGAGTCCTTTATAAGTACAAATTATAAAAAAATATTTATTTTCATATAAATACATGCAAGACTGTTATATACAAATAATATACGATGAAATTTTGGGAGAGTACGTATATAATAACTATAATAACCATACGTACGTATATATACGTATTTTACGAAAAAAAAAACAGTCATGGTGACCTGACTATTCTCTTTAATATAACATGTACATGGAGGAAACATCTAGCTTTTAATAAATAAAAATAATGATAAGTTATTTATTATAACTCTGAACAATTGACACAGCGCCATCTAATTCCACGGTAAGCAGAGATTGTGTTATGGGTACTATGATGATGGGTAGGATGACTGATATAAATACTTAGATATTTTTTGATAAATACATACATAATATACATAGAATACTCCCAGACAGATACAAACAATCATAGTAATGAATACAAATGTTTGTACCACGCGAGAAATCGAACCTAAACCATCAGAAGTAGCGTTATGGTAAACCGCTAGACCACCGAAACCATCTATCAAATAAAAATACAATATTTCTGTCGACAGTTGAAATAACGCATGGATGAACTACCAAAGTATTTTCAGAGTAAAATGTGCGCTTTAGCCTATTATAAAATGTCGACGTTTCCAACTATAGAGGAAGGAAGTAGTTTGTTCGTGAACATTTGTCATTTTTGAACTTGCACAAATGAGATTTTCAGGAACATGCGTTAATATTCATTACTGTCGTTGAAATACCTTCTATTCTATTTAAACTCTTTTTTTTAGATTTGTTTTTCGTTATATAATGGATAAAAAATACTTTTCGGATTTCAAAATAAATAAAAAAAAGGCATCTATACATCGTAAGATTGCTTGAGATGTGTTTTATTTAAAAAAATAATCTGCTAGTATTACGTGCCATGTAAATTGCACTTATGAAGAGGTTATTTTAGAAGAGATAATCAGAGACTTTGCTAACTTGCAATAGAATTAAATAACATGCTTTTTTTTTATTTTTTGTTTATTTCCACAGACAGCGGTCCGTGCCTTTGTTAATTTTATCTATCTCCATTTTTTCTTCTACTAACATTTTATGATATACCGCCCTATACACATATTGTAAATTACAATTAGAATCTAATCAAACTAAATCAATGAATTATACTTAATTAAAATCAAAACAAACTTAGACCGAATAAAACCCAAAAACTATCAATAAATTAAATTAAATTAACATTATATAATAATAAATTCAAGTTATCGATAACACGATTTAAACCCAGTTTTTTACCTAATTAAATGTAAGTTTTTGAATTACCTTATTATACTATATAATATATTACCTTATATACTTCCAATAATTAAATAATTCCAAATCAGATCTATATTACCAATAATTAACGGAGACGATAATGTATAACCAAGATAATTAAACTAAGTAATAAGCAAACTAACAAGGATAACTGTATTAGTATAATAGATTACAATACATCTTATAATCTATACATATAAATAAAATTGGAGTGTCTGTTTGTAATATAGAACTAACCATTTTTTACAATTTTGGCCTGTCTGTGTCTGTCTGTTTGTTCCGGCTAATCTTTGAAATGGCTAGACAGATTTTAACGGGACTTTTTGACAGGTAGCTGATGTAATAAGGAGTAACTTAGGCTACTTTTAATTTAGAAAAATAAAGTGAAATTCCACGCGGACGAAGTTACGAGTACAGCTAGTACATATTAAATTCAATAACTTGACTAAGAAACACTTTATTTTCGTACATCTTTACATCTTTATGTATATAGGTAAAATGTATATATATATAGTTTATTATCCATCCATCAATTACGAAATTTTAATACAATTTTTAATAATTTTATTTACATTTTCTTTCCACCTGTTTACAATATTTGTCCTGACTGGCTGACTTATGATCAATGACTCATTGTCTTATCTTATCATAAAAGATGTTTTTATATGATTGCTTTTACAATGTAAACATTATCACATGATTTTGGAGAAGGTTTTATTTTATTAAAGTAATTATAAACAATTCTTTGCAAGTAAATGTAAACACTTCATTCATATATTGTAAAATCGTTAAATTGCTTTAATTAAAGATGGCCAAATAGACTAAAATTAAAGCATTTAATAGGCAACATTGGAACCCTAAAACACCTTTATTTCCATATAAAAAGCGTTAAGTTTAACTGGATTCGCGTGACATTCAACCATTTATAAAAGTTAATTACACCAAGAAATTTTACTTCTATGATAAGCCAGCGCTTTTATATCTGCAAGAATATGGTAGACTATATGTCTACAGTTGTGAATAGTAATTCATAATTTGTATAATTTTGAATGGTTGCCATTGGGAATAAGGTAAAGAAAGTTTAATATTTAAGGTAAAAAACATAAAACATATATGGAAGAACGGGGTAAGTTTGATTTAATCTAGCTGTACTTTTATTTTGAACTTCCATAGTTAAATATTTTTTTAGTTATTTATTTTATTTCCACACTTACACTTACTTTTATTATTATTGATGTTCTCTGTAATTGGTGTTCTCTGCAAGAAAATTTCCCGAGGTATACTTTGCACAAAGTAGTTTACGCGTTGCCTCTACATTACTTATTTTGCCTTTATGCAGCTTGATTTGAAGCTGTTTCAATTAAGATATGGCAGCGAGACTGCAGGCTATGAACTGATGATGATATGACTACTGAATTCATCTTCCCAGTGGCAACACATAAGAGATAGGTACAACGAGCATCACTTGATGATGTTATATCTGTAGTGATCTTCGTGTACATAGAGGTGCCTTATAATCTAGTGAGCGAAATGCTAGTTTGCCAGTAACATAAAAACTGGAAAGAGTTAGAAGTTTGAACTGGTCCGAAAACTACAACTGATTAAATTTAGTTTAATTCCCGCTTACGCTAATGTTGCCAAAAGCCGAATATTAAATCAGCCGTTATGAGTTCATTAAGCTAATACTACGCTACATTTTCATGCTCGGATGTAACACGTGTTACTGAATTATTGTTTATACAAATTCAGTAGAGTAAGTTCAATTTACGGTCGCGTTGTTTGCCCGCGACTCGCTAATTGGAGTTTGAGTTTATAACGCATGTGTGCGTTAGCATTATCTGCTTTAGGATTTGCTGATTGTATTTTAACCTGACGATTTGTCCGGTTGTGTAAAAAATATTATAGTCTAACATTTTCATATATAGTTTAAAAATGATCAGCATAACGGAAAAAACATCAAAAATGTTTAAAAAAGTTCTTTTGAATTTATAAATTATTTATATATAATATATTCCTTAATAATGTAATGTCTTACATCAGATATCTTTCTCTCGACCGAATTTAAGTAGAACTTGTCATATGGTGGTCTGTGACGCCTATTTCAGCTGCCAAGCAGATTGCTTTGTATGCTGTGTTTCGTTTGAAGGGTAATAATATTATATAATGCAGTGAAATTATAATATTATAGAATACGAGGCATGACATCTTAGTCCTCCGAAAAGATAACGTAAGAGTGGTAGATAACATGAGCTTCGTAATGCTTTTTTTATATGAGTAATACCCATGACAATTATTACCCAGCGCTATCTAGTTCCACGGTAAGTAGAGCTGTGTTATGGGTACTCGACAACTGATATAAATATTAAGATTTGTTTATAAATACATTCATAATATATATAGAAAATGCCGATGCCAAGCTGATACAAACAATCATACTCATGAATACAGATGTTTGTCGTGCGAGGAATCGAACCCACAACCATCGTAAGTAAAGCATTGTGCTAAATTGCTAGACCACCGAGGCCGCAATATATGTACACATAAGGTTACACTCAGCATCAGGTGGTATTATCTTCATTATCATTCCATTCTTGTTTCTCATACCAATTACATAAAAAAAGTTTCATTTAATAAGGTTTTTCAGTTCTGTCTATATATTTTTTATAGTAGTATTCGAAAT